TAGAAGTAAGAGCGACAACAGCGACAACTTCAAGTTTTCCTGAGAAGTGTCTTTAGCCGGGTGAGGTGGCACATGCCTTTAATCCCAGCTCTCAAGAGGCTGAAGCAGGAAGAGCACCATGAGTTCGAGGCCAGCCAGAGCTACATAGTGACCCTGTCTCAAAAGCTAAAAGCAACGAGATCAACAACAACAAAAAAGTATTTTAGTACATTTTTCTCTTTAATTTCCATCAAAGAAGCTTCCACTTTTTTTTGAAATGTCCTTGGCATTGTTTTAATTGTTTGTTGCTATCATTCACATTTTCCAAATTTCTATTGTACTGTCTGGCCATCAACAGTTGCTCTAACACCTTTCTGGAAAACTGAGTTTCTTCAACAAAGAAACAAAAATATCTGTACTTTAATAATACAAAAGCTAGGAGCAAATTTTCTGGTAGAATTGGAGATAAAGACATGAGTCTAATTTTTTTTTTTTGTGGTACAGTACTGGGGGTTGAACCCAGGGCCTTCACCCTGAGCTACATCCCCAGCACTTCTGAAATTTTTAAATTTTGAGACAGGTTCTCTCTAAGTCACTAAGTTTTTCAGGCTGGGCTGGAACTTGCAATCCTCCTGCCTCAGCCTCCCAGAATGCTGGGATTACAGGCATGCATCTCCATGCCTGAGTTTGATACTTTTTACTATGCAGTTTTGTGCAAACTTGTGACTTGGTAGAGGTGCTATAATCAGTTTAGCTGTTCATGGGGTCAGTAGCCAAGCTGAGACCAGGTGACCAAAGCAAACGCTTCTCAGTGTGCATATCGCCCTGGAATCTTGGAAGACTCACCTTGCTTGGGATGGCGGTTTGGAGGTGGATCATGTATTGGGACAGATGTGACCAGGAGATTCTGACTTTGAATAGTCAGAAAAACCTACCGGAGGCCCTGTGAGCTGGGTGAGACAAAGATCATTTCCTGCATGACATCCTGTAGGCGTCCATAGTTGGTGTAGAAAATCATACTTGCAATTTTCAAAAACTTCCCGAGTACCGAGTGGGCTCGGGAGCAGAGGTGCGGCATTTAAGGAGTGGTGGTGAAGCTGCGGTATGCACACAGTGCGCGGTACACGTCAGGTAAATGGGTAAGAGAAGTAGTCAGAGAGGAGCGGAGGTGAGCACAGAGAAGATGTCGCGCTGGGGCTTCTTTTTACCTTCTGGGTTCCGGGATTGGATTCTCGAAAGACTCTAAATTGATTTCCCTCCCCGTTTCCCTTTCCCTCCCCCACCCCTCCCCCTCCCCTTTTCTAATCCCAGGCGGATGCGAATGGCCTTCTCCTGGTTCCAGGGTGTGAATGGGCTGTCTTCCGGTTGGCGCATCCTGGGGTTATAACGCAAATCGAAGTAGACACTAAACATTTTAAAGGTAAATTCAAGGCCATAGGAAGCACCTAGAATGGGGCAGGAGTGCTTATTCTGAAGGCGGGGTATCCTGTGGGGGGGGGCTGGAGGGTCTGCACCTGCCTTCCCCACTCAGCTCGCCCGTGGTGATTTGCAGCAGGCACTTTCGGCTCACCCTGCTTTCCCAGGTGCACAGTAGGACCCAGGGATTCCAAAGTTCATGAGTCCAGGCTGACAAGGGAAGGGCAGCCTCCTAGCACATGTTTTGGGCTGAAGCAACTATTTCTTCCCCAGGTGTGAATTTCAGGCATCGAGCTATACTTTTTAAATTTTTTTGGTACTGGGAATCGAACTCAGGACCTTGTAATTGCCAGGCAGGCGCTGTGCTGCTGAGCTAACTTCCCAGCCCTAAGTTACACGTTTTAAAAGCCGTGAACCTTCCACTGACTAAAAAAAAAAAAAAAAGATAAGCAACCCTGATATTCCATATTTACTTTCTTTTTTTTCCAGTACCAGAAATTGAACTCACTACCTCGTGCTTGCCAGGCAGGCACTGCGCCACTGAGCTAAATCCCCAGCCCCTCGTATTTACTTTCTTATGACATCTATACATGGGTCATTAAATTAAGAAGGATAGCCAGGCATGGCGGCACACACCTGTGATCTCAGCACTCAGGAGGCTGAGGCAGGACGATCATCCTGATTTCAAAGCCAGCCTGATCTACATAAAGAACAAAAGCAAATGAAAAAGAAAATTCAAAAGAGGTGACTAAACTTCTGTAATTTCGGTGACATTTTGTGAGTACTGGATTGGGTACTGTGTGATTGTTTACTTCTTTCTATAAGGAATATGGCAGTTTATATTCAGATTTTGGAAGACTAGTATTTATTTATTTAGTCTTTTGAGACAGAGTCTCACAATGCAGTTCAGGCTGGCCTTCAAATCACTATTTGGCCCAGGCTGGCCTCGAACTTACAGCGATCTTCCTGCCTCAGCCTCCTCAGTGCTGGGATAGCAGGTGTGTGCCACCATACTCATTTTGAAGATTGGCTTTTAACTATCTTGCAAATCATAATGACTTTATTCAATTATTAGTATTATGTCAAGGCACAAGGTACACCAACCACAAGGCTGATCATTATGGTAGTATTTTAAGGAGTCTTGGTGAGTTAGCTTGCTCTTGGAAGATGGCTTTATTAATTGATTGATTGATTGATTTGTTCTTGTATTGACATATTTGTTTGCATGGTACTGAGGACTGCACCCAAAGCCTTCATGCTGAGTTCCATTACTGGTCTTTGTTTTTTGTTTTGAAACAGGATCTTACTAAGGTTGCTACAAGTTACACAGGCTGGGCTCAAACTTGTGATCTTGTGATCCTCCTGCCTGAGCCTCCCAGAGCACTAGGATTCAAGGCAGGCACCACCCCATGCATCTAGGTTTGTTTTTTTTTTTTTTTTTTTTTTTTTTTTTGAGGCTGTGTCTTGCTGTGTAGTTCAGACTGGCCTTGAACCATAAAGGCCAAGCTGAACTCTCAGTGATCCTCCTGCCTCAGCCTCCCCAGTGCTAGGATTACAAACCTGTGCCACCACGGATGGCATTTGCTGCATTTCGAACCTGATTAAAAACCCCAGCGTGCCAGAAGGTGAGTGCAGCCTGGGGACAGGCATGGCCCACACAGTGTCCCTTTGCTCCACAGGGAACTCTCCGGACAACTGCAAGGTGGACGGCTGCGTCCTGACCACGCAGGAGGAGGAGGACGCGGCCAAGTGCCAGTGGCTTCTGCCAGCCACAAAGTGGAAGCCGCTGCTGCCGGTCACCAAGGTGGGTATGGCCCGGGCTAGGAGCCGCCTCTGAGTGCTGTGGCGGTGTCAGGATCTGACTGGACTCCACCCCCAGCCCTTATGTATGTATTTATTTTGAGACAGAGTTTTGCTAAATTGCTAAATTGCCCAGATTGGGTTTAAATTTGCAACCTTCCTGCCTCAGCCTCCCAGAGAGCTGGGGTTACAGGCGTGCATCACCACATACTTTTATTAAAGTTATGTGCTAAAAATATGTAAGTGTGAAAATGTTTTTGTGTTCTATTAAACCATTTACAGGGGAGTCGAGCACACTTACAGCTCTAAGGGCTGTACTTGGTGATGGCGGGGTGCTGTGAGATGTTCCAGAAGCATCTTTGACCTGGCAGGGGGGTGGGGAATCTGTTCGGGCCAGGCCTGCTCCTTGTCACCATGGAGACTCACCAGGCGACCTCCTCATCTGCTTGACTTGTCTACTTACCTACTAAACACAGCCAACAATGGCTGGGTGTGGTGGCACATGCCTGTCATCCCAGTAGTAGGGAGGCTGAGGCAGGAGGATTGCTGTGAGTTGGAGGCCAGCTTAGGCTACATAGTGAGACCCTGAGTACTCATGCCAGTATTATTTGAGCATCTTCTCCGGGTAACAGATTTCTAAACCAAGTTGTCACTGGATCACTTTTTTTTTCTTTTAAGTCTTTTTTTGAGACAGTCTTTCTATGGAGCCCAGGCTGGCCTCGAAGTCCCAGCAATCCTCCTGCCTCAGCCTCCCAAGCATTGGAAGGCCAGGTTTGCGCCACCACGAGGGGCATGATGATGTTCTGGGCCACCTAACCCTGCCCCAACCTCTGGCCTCCTTTCTTGTAGCTCTTGCCCAACCAGAGCCACCTGTTCGACAGCCTCACGCTGGAGCTGCAGGACGTCATCACGCACGCCAGGCTCAGCATTGCCCCCGACGGGGGAGTGAGCCGCCTGCGGCTGCTCGGCTTCCCCAGCTCCATCTGCCTTCTGCGGCCCCGGGAGAAGCCAACTCTGCGCTTCGCCGTGAAGGCCGCCTTCAAGGCCAGCCTGTAGCCTCTGCTCCCCGGGCTTTGAGGCCCCGCAGCTAATAAAGTGCTGGTGGCGCAAAGAGCGTTGTGTTGTGCTGGGTCCACAATGAACTGTGGCCGTGAAGGGCCACATATGTTCAAAACACTCTAGGAGGCTGAGGCAGGAGGATCGGAAGTTGGAGCCTAGCCTGGGCAGTTTAGCAGCTGAGTGAAACCCTGTCTGGAAATACAAAAACAAACAAGGGTGGGGCATGAAGTTCTGTGCAGTGGCTCTGGGTTCCGTCCCTTGCTGGAAAATAAAATTGGTTGTGGCTGTGAAACAGTAGGTGGACTCTTCGCGGGTAACATTTTTTGTTGTAGCTTTTCCGTTTTTGAGACAGGGCCTCACTATGTAGTCTAGGCTGGTTTTGAACTCATGATGAAGCCCAGGCTGGCCTTAAACTCATGATGATCCTCCTGCCTCAGCCCTCCTGAGTGCTGGGATGACAGGCGTGCACCATCATGCCCGGTTTTTTAAAAACAAGAAAATGTCGATATTTACTGTATAGTGTTGAGGACCCTCTGTGTGTAGATTCAGCAGGTACAGATAGTCTGTCTTTGAGGGTTTGTTGAAAGCCAGCAAAGCCATTGGGAAAACATCTCGCTGTCCCCTTGCTTGCTGTAGCGCCTCCTGTTGCCCTATCCCTTGTCACCCCTGTCCCGGGGGCGTCGGGGTCACAATCGCCCGCGTCAGCGCTGTGCCGCACCCCTTGGGCCCGGTAGTCAGTCCCGCGCCCCGCGGCTTGGGCTGCGCAGCCGAACCGTCCTGCCTCGGCCTCCCTGGAGCGCACGGCATGGGCACGCGCGGGCCCCGACCGCTGGTGGACACCACGCCGGCCAAGACCATCCTCGTGTACCGCAACGGGGACCAGTTCTACATGGGCCGCAAGTTCGTGCTCTCGCGGCGCCGCGTGGCCACGTTCGAGGCGCTGCTGGAGCAGCTGACCGATCACGTGGCTGTGCCCTTTGGGGTGCGGCGCCTCTACACGCCCACGCGGGGCCACCAGGTGCTTGAGCTCGATGCGGTGCAGACGGGAGCCAAGTACGTGGCGGCGGGCCGCGAACGCTTCAAGAAACTCGAGTAAGTGTGCGTTCCAAAAGGGAGGCGGAGGCAGGAGCGTCTGCGGTTGCAGCCCAGCCTGAAAGGGGTTGGAGGTGGAGCTCAGGGCTTGAGGGCTGGGTTCAGTTTCCAGGACCGGACTGGGGGTGGGTGGGTCCTGCGATCGCGTTCCTGGTATCGGGTTGGTGTATGAACAGAACACATCTCACGGGCGCGCAACACGTCATCCCCTTTCCCCACTCTCCCGCCCCTCCCCCTCTTGGCCCCCTTCCCATCTGCAAAAGATTTTCTATCTTTTAGTTTACCCTTGAATTTATTTATACTTTGAGTTTCTCACAGAAGAGAAACCACGGGCTACTTCAGCCGTGTGCCTGCGTTATTTCACTCAAAGTCACGGCCCCAAGGAGCCTCCTATTACCTCCACAGGACTCGAGTTGGAGCTCAGCCCCCTTTGCGGCTGGGCGATGGACCTGCCGGGCTGTGTCTAAGCCCGGCCGTCGCTGCTGCTCCCGCCCTCTGCCCGGCTGAGTCTCCCTCCTCGCCCTGCCTTTCCTTGTGTGCTTGCTTTCTGTGACTCTCTCCTTTTCTGTCAGTGATGTGGGGAATTTCCTCTGGGAGGATGGGGCCACGGGCCGTGCTCCACAGAGAATGTCCATTTCTCCCAAATGCCAGGACTGCTCCCTGACAAGGATGCTCTGAGTTAAATGAGCAGCTTGAGGTTTGAGTTTTTGAACCAAAAAGATGAAAAACGAAGGGGCCTGTGAGATAACTCAGTGGTACAATGCCTACCTGGCAAGTGCAAGGTCCTGAGTTCGATTCCCAGTACCAAAACCAAAACCAAAACCAAAACCAAAACCAAAACCAAAACCAAAACCAAAACCAAAACCAAAACAATATGAGAATTAAACAAGTCACTGTGTGTGGTGGCGCACGCCTGTAATCCCAGCACTCAGGAGGCTGAGGCAGGAGGATCACTGGGAGTTCAAGGACTGCCTGGGCTACAGAGTGAGTTCAAGGCCAACCTGAACTGCAGAGAGACACCCTGTCTCAAAAAGAAAAAGAAAAAAAAAAGATAAAAACTGAGTACAGTTGAATGGCACATTTTAACAGCATTGGCAAAGATGCACATTTAACACTTTAGGTGCTATTGTTTTTTTCCTTTTTCTTTTAAAGAGAAAAAAAAGTAAAAACAATGATACAGAATTTCAAAACAAGATAATAGGAAATTAACAATGGTTAATATATTGCATATTGTTATCCTCAAAGTAATTGCTCAGATTACAAGATATAGCCATGCAAGACTGATCAAACAATATAAGTACAAACCGTTCTCTTCAATGAACTAAAGAAAATTTGTAGTATAACTATCAGCTATCTTATGTGTCTCTCTCTATATATTGATATGTATTTTTTCTCCCTTCCTTCTTTTCTCCTTTTCCCCATCCTAGTTGTTCTTTCCTTTTGGGTAGTTTCTTTCCCTTTCAGAATATCTATTGTAGATTTTGGATCTTATCTGCTCTTTCAGTTTCTCACACTAGGGACACAGTATGATGTTTATACATGTTTATTTAATTTATGAATATGGTTTCTAGTTGCATCCATTTATCTATAAAAGCTTTGAGTTTATCCTTCTTTATGGCTGAGTAGTACTCCATGGTATAAAAAGGTCACATCTTTTTAATCCATTCCTTGATTGATGGGCATTTGGGTTGTTTCCAAGATTTAGCTATGACAAATTGTGTTGCTATAAACATGGGTACACATATATCACTGTGGTATGATGTTTTTAATTCTTCTGGAAAAATACCCAGAAAGGGAATAGCTGGGTTAAATGGGGCTTCTAATCCTAGCTTTTTGAGGCATCTCCACACTGATTTCCACAGTGATTGCACCAGTCTGCACTCTCACTAACACTGAAGTGTTCCTTTCTTTTCCAGAGGCCTGCCAGCATTTGTTATTGGTTAATTGCTTGATGACAGCATTCTTTCTGGGGTGAGATGGAATCTCAGTGTTATTTTAATTTGCATTTGCATTTGTACAATGATGTTGCACATTTTTTCATATATTTATTTGCCATTTGTATTTCTTCACCTGAGAAGTGTGCATTCATCTCAGATGCCCATTTTTGGACTGGGTCTTTCAATTTGGGGGTGCCTGACTTTTTTCAATTTTTTTATATGTTCTAGAGCATGCTATTATTTTTTGGGGAAAGTCATAACCATAAATGGTGAGAGGAGTCTCAATTAACTTCATAGCATTTTAGGTTGAAATGCATCTCTGGGATGGGCCTGACAACATATTCCTTTTCAGACATGAGATTTTCTGGTTTTTTTTTTTTTTTTTTTTTTTTGGCTTTTTGAGATAAGGTCTTGTTATTAATTCAGGCTGGCCTTGAACTCACAGTAATCCTCCTGCCTCAGCCTTCCAAGTGCTGGGATTACAGGCATGTGCCACCATGCCTGATGTTTGTGGTTATTTTTTCAGGATCAGTGGGATGTTAATTATAGCTAGAACTTATGGTTTCTTACCAGAATCTAGTATTCAGTACAGACATTCCTCATTTAACAACTGAGCTCCACTCCTGCATGTAGGCTGTTAGGTAAGTGGGTCACTCAGTGAGGAATTACACATTGTGTGTACATTGCAATATTCAGAACAAAGAGACGGTCAGGGGAGCGCCACCTTGATGGCCTTGCCTTTATTTGCCTAACGCTTGCGTGCTGTACTGTAATGTAGAACAGAACTTGGAAGTGCAGTACCACACTGTACAGCATGATCAGCAGCAGTTCTGGTGCTGTATTACAAGGTGTACCGTACCAAAAAGACACTGAGGCGCTATAAACAAGATGTACAGACATCTACAAAAATAAAAGACGGGTTGAAGGTCTAAATGATGCGTCTGGATCATAAGTAGGGACAGTCATTAAACGGGTAGGTGGTTACAGAGGAACATGGGCTGTGCTCGCCATTGAACAGTGAAGATGAACTTTCACCAAGAATTCTGATCCAAGTTGTGCCACGAGCTCATGGGCTCTGAAGCTGTAACAGAAAATACCCGCCTGCCCCAGCCAGTATACTTCAGCTTCTTAGAAGGAGTTGCTGACAGCCGTCTCGAGTGGGTGTTAGACGACGCCATCAGGACAGGCGTGGAAGCAGAAGGCTGTGGAGGGAGGCAGCGGCGAGCTGGAACCAGTTCAGTTGGCTGGAGGCAGACGAGTTGGGAGCGGGGAGTGAAACTATAGGTGCTGGCAGCAAGTGCAGCGGCAGACGAGGGTGCCGAGGCGGAGTTCTCAGGAAGAATGGGTCTGAGGGTACACAGAGGGCCCCAACCCTCATCGCCATGGGGTTGTGGGAGGAGACAGACACTATAAAATCTCCCTGACACCCACCCAGTGTTCAGATACTTCCCACTTTTTCTAGAGTAAATTAGAGATTTCTTCATGCCTTTTTTTTTGTGTAGGACAAAAGGCTATTGATTACTTCTCAAAAAAGAAAGGCTCTATAAAGCCAACATCGTAGTTATTTCTTTTGTGGAGAAAGTCATATTCATACAAAATCTAAATCAGGATATTGTCTGTGAGCTTATAACTTCATTTTAATACTTGGAAGAAGTCTTCACATCAGATATAAACCTTAAGGTATTACTATCATTTAAAATATCAAAAGAATTTATAGGTGTGCAGCACCACACCTGGCATTTTTTTTTTTTAATTTTTGAGAACTATGGCTGGGTGTGGTGGTGCACGCCTGTAATCCCAGCGCTCGGGAGGCTGAGGCAGGAGGATCGTTGCAAGTTTGAGACTGGCCTGGGCTATAAAGTGAGCTCAAGGCCATCCTGAACTGCATAAGGAGACCCTGTCTCAAAAAAGACTAAAAATAAAAAAGACCAAAAAAAAAAGGGGAAATATGGAAGGCTCTTCAAAAATCCCCAGGGGTCAAATATGGTATTAGTGGAACTCATATATTTTTGGGTTTTTGATTTAGGGTCCACTATACAGTTCAGGCTGCACTTGAACTCATTATATAACCCAGGGTGGCCTTGAACTTGTGATCCTCCTAGCATAGCCTCCTGAGTGCTGGGAACATTTGTGATCTCCCAAACCTTGTCTTATAAGGATATGTTTTTTTTAAAATTTTTTTTATTTTTTGGTTTTTTCTCCGGTACCGGGAACCGAACTCACGACCTTGCGCTTGCCAGGCAGGCGCTTTTGCCACTGAGCTAAATCCCCAGCCCCAAGGATACGTTTTTTTAAAAAAGGCCTTAGAACCAGGTGTGATAGCACATGCCTATGATCCCAGCACTCTGGGAGGCTGAGACAGGAGGGTTGTAAGTTCCAGCACGGAGTAGGCAACTGAATGACTCAGTTTTAAAATTAAAAACAAAGAAAAGAAACTGTTGTGTGTAATTATTTGATCAATCTTGCATGCCTATATCTAACCATTTTGAAGATGACATTGTGTAGTATAACCATTGTTAATATCCTATCACCAAGTTTTGAAATTCTGTATCATTTTTATTGCTCCCTATGCTGTTTTGTTTATATATTTGTTTTTGTTACTTTGTTTTTTAAAATGAAAAACAAAATTTGTATGTATATATAAAGTATATATATATGTATATATAAGGTATATATATATATATAGCTGGAATAGGTGTATTGTTGATATCTGTGGTTTATTGAGAGGAACAGTAAATTTCTATCATTTTGTTTTGAGATCATGTATCATTTTTGTTGTTTTTGTGCTGTTTTTATTTTGCCTTCATTGTTGTTTTGACAGTTTTTAAATTTTTAAAATAAAAAAACCCAACCAACCAAACAAAGAATGGGTTGGGAATACAGGTGGTCATAAGGTTGGCATTTTGATTTTTCATACTGCAAAAATTAAAAAAAAAATTAGGTAATTTCTAAGAGTGTTTAAGAGACAGTTCCAGTGGGGCAAGCTGGAAAGTTGTCCCACGGCAGCATTGCTATTGCACACTAACGTGACTCCTGGTCCGGACAGAGGTATGGGGTTGTCTATTTTCATTCCAAAAAGGATGAAGCCTTTTTATCCTCTATAATATGGCCCAGGGTTCCTATCTAAATATTTACCTTCTAATTGGATTTTCTCCTTTGTTTCTTTTTTTTTGCAGTTATATTCATATAGTTCCCAGAAAACCTTCCAAGATAAGAAAGCTGAAGGAAGTAAGTGTTCCCTGCTAGCTGATCAAGCCGAGGTAAAGTAGATGATCTGGCAGAGGTTTAAGTGTCAATCCTGAAGGACTGAGGCAGGCAGAGCTCCGTTGGGAGTGTGTGCAAAGGTGCGTCGCTCAGAGCCGGAAGCCACTGCAGCAGCTTGTTGTTCCAAGAGATCTTGATTTGGTACAGCAATGTACTTAGATTCAGCTAGACCAGCATACTATACAATTAATACGGCCATAGACATGGCTTATGAAATACTACAGTGTAATGCATTTGAAATTTCACTTCAGTAAATGGAAAGGCAGAAAAGCTAGATTTGAATTTGACGGGATTTCGGTTATCATGAGCGTGCTGGGTTGGGGATGAGAAGGTATCCTTGATGTCGCCATGACTGAATGGTCTTTTTTTTTTTTCTTTTTGATACTGGGGAGGTGAAGTCATAATATTGTGTTTGCCAGGCAGGCAAGTGCTGTGCCACTGAGCTATATCCCCAGCCCAGCGACTGAATGGTTTTTGTGTAACATCTACAGTTGTGAGGCACCATCTGCAGCTGTGCGGACCTGGGTAGATGATGTCTCCAGTTCTTTTTTCTGTGCTTGAGCCCCAAGTCAATATTTTTCTTCACCATGAAGGCTGTCTTTTTGGAGACAGAGTCTTACTGTGTTGTCCAGGCTGGCCTTTGGCTTAAACTCATCATATAGCCTCAAACTCATGGTGACCTTCCTGCCTCAGCCTCCTCAGTGCTGGGATTATAGGCGTGTACCACCACTCTTGGGCTGTTTCTGCTTTAAAAAGTACTCTCCAACTTGTGCTCATTGGAGAAAAATGAGAAAAAGTAATATATATATATATA